GTCTCTCTCTCTCTCTGCTCTCTCTCTCGTCTCTCTTCGCTCTCGGTCTCTCTCTCTGCTGCTCTCTCTCTCTCTCTCGCCTCTTCTCTCTCTGCTCCTCGTCCTCTCTCTCTCGCGTCTCTCTCTCTCTCTTCGCGTACTCTCTTCTCGTCTCCTCTCTTCTGCTCCCTCGCTCTCCTCGCTCGTCTCTCTCTCTCTCTTCCCCCCACCTTCTCTCTCTCGCTCGCTCCATCTGCTCTCTCTCTCTGCTCTCTCCTCCTCTTTCGTGCCTCACTTGTACGCTTTTCTCCCCCTCTTCCGTCTCGTTCATGCCTCTCCTCTCTGTATTCGCCCTCTCTCCGCTTCCATCTTTTCGCTCGCTCCACGAAGAAAGACGACGATGAAAGAAGAAAGAAGAAGCAGAAGCAGAAGAAACCCCCTCCCCGTTCGGGTCGCTTGCTAATTTACCCGAGATGTTAATGCTGCAAATCACGGGCACACCACGTCTCCCGCGCGACTGGCGCGCGACAATGAAACGGCTCTTTTGCAGACAAGCCAAGGCACTTCCACTCAAACCGCGAAGACAATGCGCGCGCCATCAGATTCTTCCTATCGATCTGCTTTTGGCAAATCCGCTAAGACGCGTTCGGCGTTAAAGAGGGTGCGTCCGAGCACCTCGCGCGGTGTGTGTAGCGTTAATCGCAAGCTACGCCTGTACTTATCAACACGTTACGGCTGTCGTTGTTATAACAGGTTTACGCCTGGTATTTTTATCAACATGGTTGCAACTGTATTTTATCAAAATTCACGCCTAATTAGCTATCGAGAGTAATGTCTTTTATCTAGTCACAGTCACGCCTTTATCTATCCATAAGTCACGCCTGGTTACTCTATCCAGAGATCACGCGCGTGCTTATTCTGTCGACAGTACGCCTGTTATTATCGCATAAGTCACGCCTGTTATACATATCCCATAGTTAGCGGTACTCCAGTACGTTATCTATCCATAGTCACGCTGCTTATTACTCGACAAGTACGCTGTTATATAGCTACGCTCTTCATCAATCAGCGCCTTTTTATATTTAAGCCACAGGCACGCGCTGTTGCCAATCCACAGCTGCATCACTGATTATTCAACCCATAGAGCTGTGGTCTATACGCACTGTACAGTGAACAGGCCGTTTCCAATTGCGCAGGGCGATGTGTTCCGCACGTGGCTGCGAGTCTATGTATCGGACGAGCGCCGAGATGTTCGTCAGTCGACCATGTTTGCGCAAATTTGGGCATTGAAGTTCATTACGGGTCTATATTTGCTTCAGATCTTATGACATAGATAGTTCAATATATGTAAGCAATGCACTAATCGGACGTTACGTATTTCATTGGCCTCTCTTTCCCTATCTCTCTCTTGCGTCAGTCTCTTTCTCCTTCGTCCTTTCTGCTCTCCTCATCTCTCTCTCTCTCTCGTTCCTCTCTCTCTCTTTCTCTTTCATCACACACACACACACTCTCTCTGTCTCTCTTTCTTTCTCTATCTCTACCACCTAGACCACGCTCCACTCGTTCTCTCTCTCTCTCTCTTCTCTCTCTCTATCTCTCTCTCTCTCCTCTATCTCTCTCTCTCTACTCTCTCTCTCTCCCTCGATAATATCTCTCTCTCTCTCTCATCTCTCTCTCTTTATCTCCTCTGCCTATTCTCTCTCTCTCTTCTCTCTCTCTCTCTCTCTCCTATCTCCCTCTTCTCCTCCTTCTCGTTCTCCCTCCTACCCTGCATGCACGTACTCACCTAACGCTACCCTGGCTGAAGTCGCCTCGTGGTTGATCCAGAAGGAGACCCATGACAGCATTACTATGAGGATCGACGGCAGATAGGTCTGGAAGATGAAATAGCCGATGTTTCGCTCTAGCTTAAAGCAGAGCGACAGTCGCTTGTATTTCCCTGTAGGAAACAAAAACACACACAAAATCATAATCATTAATAATAACGATGATGATGATGGTGATGATGATGATGATGATGATGATGAAGAAGAAGAAGAAGAAGAAGAAGAAGAAGAAGAAGAAGATGATGATGATGATGATGATAATAATCACAACAGACAATTAATAATAACGATGATGATGATGATGATGATGATGATGATGATGATGATGATGATGATAATCATAATCATAATAGACGATTAAGAAATACAAAGAGAATACGATTATATATCATAACAGCGCCTTTTCCCTTAAGTGATTCATATCTCTGCAAACACTAATAAATTAATAAATTACACAATGAACTAACAAATTAATAATTACTTTACAATATAACACACAGACACACAACAGTACAGACACACAACAGACACACAACGTAACTTGCGTTACACTAGGCATTTCCGACGACATGCCAACGTATCAGTGAAAATCAGCGCTAACGAAAATAATTAAAATAGACAAATTAAAATAAAATAACAAACAAGCCACACGAAGTTTGCGCCGCGAACCGACAGATGGCGCCGCGGTCGCCTCTCTCACCCGTGGCTAGCTCTTCGAGCGTGGTCAACGTCTTGTGACCTTTGATCTCGAACTGCGGCAGGGTGATGTTCTCGACTCCCTGCACGGCGCCACCGTCGCTGTTGTTCTTCCACATCATGTCGACGTCCTTCGTCGTGTAGCCATCTTGAAACGGGGCCGACGACGCGAGAAAAAAGAGAAGACGAGAAAGGTCGAGATGAATATTTCGCGTTGCGTTTCATGGAGCGTCGAGAAAGGCGAGAGCTGCGATAGGGGCGAGGAAGAGATGGGGGAGTGAAAGAGACAGAGGCGCAAACTAAAGAGAGAGAGAGAGAGGGGGGTAAGAGTGAGAGGAGAGAGAAGAAGAAAAAGAGATAAAGGCTAGAGAAAGAGACGAGAACAGAAAACGCAGAGACCGAGAAACAGAAGAAGTGAGAGATAGAGCGAGCGTCAGGGGAAGAGCAGAAGCAGAGATGATACAGAGGAGAAAGCACAGAGAGCGCGGCGCGCGCAGAGAGAGAGCAAGAGAGACGAGAGAGGAGGAGAGAGAGAGGAGGAAGAGAGAGGAGCGAGAGTGAGAGAGAAGAGAGAGAGACGGAGAGACGAGCAAACGAGAGAGAGACAGAAAGGGGCGAGTCGAGAGCGTGAGAGAGAGCAGAAAGAAAGAGAGAAGAGAGAAATACAGAGAGAGAGACGAGAGAGGAGTGAGTGAGTGAGTGCAGAGAGAGAGAGAAGAAAGAGAGAGAGAGAGAGACGGAGACGAGAGAGAGAGAAGAGCGTAAAGAAGGATAATAAAATATGACGTGGAGAACAAACAAACGCACACGAAGAAGTAACAAGTGAGCCATCATGTGGTGGCGCCTAATATCGCCTCACGCGCACTCACGTCGTTGCTCTGCGTTGACATGTAGGCAACGGGCTGCTCATGCGCAGCGCGCGGGCGGCCACGCTGGGAGTACTTCACCGCTTCGCTGGAGAATGTGTTGATTGATGATTATATATGTTTGATGATGATTAGATAGATGTAGATTTTTAGATTTCTAGGGTAAGTATGCTGGCCGCGCTTTCGCTGACTGGAAAAAAAGGCAAGGTCAATTGCTAATAAATCGCCGGAGAAAAGAACGGTTTTGCATGTCAACTATGTAGAGGGTTCGAGTTGGAGTGCTGCTTTCTCTCTCTCTCTCTCTCTCTCTCTTCTCTCTCTCTCTCTCTCCCTCTACTCTCTTTCCTTTCCCTCTCTCTCCTCTCTCTCTCTCTCTCTCTCTCTCTTTCTCTCTCTCTCTCTCTTATTTCTCTCTCTCTCTCTCTCTCTCTCTCTCTCTCTCTCTCTCCTCTATTCTTCTCTCTCTCTCTCTCCTTTCCTGTCTCTCTCGCTCCTCTCTCTCTCTCTCTTATTTCTCTCCTCTCTCTCTCTTCGTTCTTTTTTCTTCTCTCTCTCTCTCTACTCTTCTTCTTCTTTTCTCTCTCTCTCTCTCTTTCTCTCTCTTTCTCTCTTTTTCTCTCTCTCTATTACTCTATAACTCTGTCTATCTCTCTCATTTTCTCTCACTCTCTATCTTTCTGTACGCCAGTGCATATGTATATGGATAAACGTGCATGCGTGTACGCGTTCGTGCGTGCAGGTGCGTGCACGCGTGTGAGTGAGTGAGTGAGTGAGTGAGTGAGTGAGTGAGTGAGTGAGTGAGTGAGTGAGTGAGTGAGTGAGTGAGTGAGTGAGGGAGTGAGTGAGTGAGTGAGTGAGTGAGTGAGTGAGTGAGTGAGTGAGTGAGTGAGTAGGTAAGTAAGTAAGTAGGTAAGGCTACACACTCTAATAACATACATTCATGATCATAAATCGCAACACATAAACGCACCACACTGTCACGATAAGTACCTATATATATATATAGATATATATATATATATATATATATATATATATATATATATATATGTAGATATATATATATATATGTAGGGCATTCACCGCTGCCTAGATCTTCGATGCTTTCTTCAGCTGTTCTTAACTACTTCGATCAACTTCGTACATGAACATCGCTAGCGTGGCGTAAGTGGAGTCAGACGACGCTGAGATATAGCACGCTGTTGTGATAGTAGTAGGGTTACATGCACCCCTACTGTTATAAAGTCGCTATATCAGACGCTGACTCGTCGCCACACAAAGTGTGTCACCTTGCGGACGTCGCCGTCGCCGCGTTAGGTCGCCGACGCGTTTTGTTACATCGTAAAACCCGGTCTGCGCATGCGTGCGCATCACCTCACGATGAAAGTCGACAGTGGCGACAGTTAGAGATTCGTAATCATGTGGCGTTACGTGCCGCCGCGCGGTGGCGCTGCGTTCGACTTGGTGACGTAATCGCGAGCAGACGACTTCACACTGGTAGTGTGTATACCTAGTTATTAATTATTATAATTAACTTTATTAATTGATTTAATTCGTTATCAACTTGTTAATGAACTGTCTATTAACCGCCTATTGCTGCCTGTTATCACTAATTCGCTGGTGATTAATTAGAACACGAGGTTACGAATGGTACCTACTAATACCTGCTTACGGGCTTTAAACTAGTTAAAGGTTAGAACCTAACAGACATGACTATCAAGCTAGCTTCTTCAAGTGCCGGTGGTGACGCCTATATCGAAAAGATATGTGGGGGAGTCCGTGGACCCTGCAAGTTTGGGGCGCTGTGGACAGAACCATGATCATAGCTCTGTACAATATCAAGCTGATATCTGTGTATTTTCGTTTCTGAAATTTTACGGGGGCAGGGGGTCGTTCTCGCGTGTTCTCGTGTTCACTTACAGCTTTCTATTTCCACCGTGCAATTCTGTACATCAAGCGGATAGTCGTGTAGATCCATCATGCACGCCAACGTCGTCGTAAACCTGAAACGGAATCAGTAACCTATGGGGTGAAGTCAGTTAGAGCGGGAAAATGCAGATCGCGCCCGTTCACCGCCCGCCCCCGAGACCCGCGTCGCACGTGTAGAGGCAAAATCAGGCGCCATGTTCGAGTCAGCCCGGGCGCCATGTTTGGGTCATTACGGGCGCCATGTTGGAGTTAATTCGGGCGCCATGTTGGAGTCAACCCGAGCGCCATGTTGGAGTCAACTCGAGCGCCATATGGGGGAGGGCAACTCAGGTGCCATGTTGGTTAGTACAACGTGGCAGCACTCGCTCTGTGAGTGATAACTTTGCCGCTAATGACTTTTGCCTCCACACACCGCTCGCGGATCTCTGGCTACAGTGGTCGACGGCCGATCTGCATTTTCGACAGTCCCTCTAACGAGACGACTTACAGTTCTTAAGTTCCACGGTGCAATTCTGAACATCGAGAGGGTAGTTGTGCAGGTCCATGTGACAGGCCAGAATCGTGGTCGTCCTGAAAGAGGTTAGGTCCACTCACTACACGCCAGGATACCATTGAGGATATATCACCATAAATAAATGTGGCAAACTCTTTCGGTAACTGGATTGGCCGTGTGGCTGTGGAGGTGTGATGTTGACGCCATGCGTTACTAGTTCTACTACACGCCTACATTGCAACAAGCGTTGCTGACGCCTAGGCAACGCGTGTGACGCCAACTTGCTGCCTCGGCGTGGCGCCATCTATTAAGTATGGTGTCATATCTACGTAGCATTGATACCCACACACGTTGATCAGTACGTAGTGTAACAACGTATGTAATGTATACAATACGTAATGTAACTGTAGACATCACGTAATACTCTACGATATAATATTCGGGGGGGGGGGGGGTATCTATGCGTTGAAACGCACGAATTCAGCATCAGTGCAGGCTCAGCGAATAAGCCCCACCCGCCTGGCGTGATTGACATGTTGCTTCAGCCAATCAGCGTCGCGATAGTGGCGTTCGAAATCTGCTACTTAACAACGAAGTGCCGCGGAGTCGACATTTTGGGCGTGCACGCGTGAGAAACGCACCCGGCAGTTAGATGCGATATCATATGACTACTAGGCACTTAGGATATGACTACTAGGCACTTAAAAAAAAAACCCCTAACCCTAACCCTAACCTAACCTAAA